CAGAAGCCTGTGGTGAATTAGTGGGGCTGTGAACCTGTGCAGAGCAAGCAAGTGTAATGCGCTGCAAGCACTCGGACAATTGCAGGCTTAAATTATTGATGGGGTTTCTGTTTTTCCTAAGTGCATCATGATAGGCAACTGGAACCGGGAGAATTTGTTGCTTCCTCTCTTGAGGACAGGGGTCTGGTGCTGAGAGCTGTTGATGTTCACTTTCGAAGGGCAGGCAGCCAGCTGGCTCTTGTCAGAGTCCCTCAGATTGATAGGGCAAGGTGAGTTATTTGAGTGATGTTGCCACTTTTCTTGTCTAGTTGGTGCTGGGGACTGGGTTGGAGCAGGTTCTCTGGGCAGTACATCCCTTCTTGTCAGCCTGATGGGTGGGTCTGGCCTGGGAGCCTGGAGCTCCTGGGGTCCGCACAGGGGCTCAGCCAGCCGGCTTGAGGGGCTGGGGTCCCTCCTGGCTCTGATCACAGCTGGTGGTGACCAGCCGGAGGAGAAGGGCTGCTTTGCTCATGCCTCACAGCAGCAGGGGAGCTGCGAGGGGTGTCCAGCATGACAACCCTTGCCACTTGCTTAACAGGTGCTGGGGGACACAAACAAGTAGTAGAGCTGTGGGGAGGGCCAGGCCTTGGCAGCCAGAGACTATGTGACTCTGTCCCTACCCTCCCTGGTGGCAGAACGCTGTTGGGAGTAAGTGCCTGTGTCTCTCTTAGCAGGGAGCTGGGCTGGTGTGGCAGAGGTGGCTTCTGGCTTTGTAGGTGCCTGGGTTGAACTTTGCCCAAAATCCTCCATGCTGAGGGAGCGGCCTTAGCTCCAGGGACCCCAGGACCATTGGGTGATAGCTGTCTGGGGACTCGGGGCACATGGAGCAGTACTGAAGCAGGTCCTTGGAAAGACCCAAGCAGGGGGCTGTGTGCTGGAGATCCCCTGTGCTGCAGCGGGTGCTGCCTGTCAAGCCTTCTGCCTGTGTCTTATCTGCCAGATATTGTCCCTTCTCCACGGCCCGTGGTGTACAATTCCCTGTCTGCCAGCTGGGTCTGGGCCCCGGGGTTAATCTTTCTGTGGTTGACAGGAAGGCTTCTGGTAGGGAGCCTTTGAGGCTTGAACTCCGTCCTCTGGTAGAGGAGGGTGCAGGTGAACTCTAGGTGGATATGGCTGTGGTTTCATCCTGGAAATTTTTTTTCCAGGCAAAGTATTTTTCTGGGGGAAGACGATCCCCCTGAGAAGCAGGGGCAAGGGGTTTTGGAAAAATGTGCTGTGTCAAAGCTGCCCCCAGTGGAAGAGCTCTGGAGGCCTTGGTCAGGGCTTAAGGTGTCATTCTGGCTGCTACCAAGCCTTTAGTCCAACCAGCAAGATTACAGTGGGTACCTGTGGAGGGAAGCTCTGTGCATGCAAATCTGCTTGTGGCTGTGTCCCTGACAGCAAGGGGGGCGTTCTCCGAAGGCACTGCATGTTGGACACCTCTCTGGTGGACCTGCTCTGGCTTCAGGTCCCCTGGGTGCAGTGCAGGGTTGTGCTGGGTCCAGGAAGTTGGAAGATGAGGCCAAAGGGATTTGGATGTAAAGCTTTCTGGGTACCTGTGTTGGTCCCTGGGGGTCTCCTTGGACTGATAGCCACGGTGGGGAAGTGCTCTGGTGCTGCTTCTGCCCTGGGGCAGAGGCTGCTCTGGGGTGTGTTTTGTCTTTAGGATTTTGTTTTGCCCTGAATCAAGCCAGCAGAAATATTTTTGGCTTGCTGGGGTTTTTAAGTAACGGGTGTGTCAGCAAGTGCCTCTCATGATGAAAAGGCTTTCTTGCAGCCGTCCTCAAAGATGGTCAGGGTCTGGCTCTGGAAAAATGCTCTGTAGTTGTATCTTCAGAAGCTGGGGAGGAGGAGGGGGGAATGTGTGCAAAGCCATCCCTGGAATTTCACCCTTGTGGGATCCGGCATGCTTGGCTTTGAGCTGTCAGGGGCTTGGGGCTGCCGTGATCAGGGTGCGTAGCTGTGGCTCTCCTCTTCCCTCCCCTCTCTGTCTTGCTTTGAAGATGACCAGTTCCCTGAGCTGGCATTGAGAGGTTGAAGAGGGGCCCAGATTCTCCACAGCTGGGAGGGTGTAAGGCTGAGTGGCTGTTTGGGGTTTGTGTGTTAGCCAGCTGCAAGGGCAGGGCTGTGCTCCAGCCCGGGATGGTGCTGGCATGTGTCTGCAGGGAGAGCTGGGGACAGCGCTTGCTAATCTCTCTGGACCTGGCACTGCTTTGTGGTAGTTATGTCTTTAATTTTGGATCAATGTAGGCTAGGTGGCTAGAAGGAGGGCGGAGGGAGGTGGTGTGTCCTCATGGCAGAGGCCTCGGGAGGAGAGCTGGGAGAGCCGCCTGGGGCAGTGGGTACCCTGTTCCGCTGGCACCTCTTGCCCGTGATAGAGCTGTGCCTGCTGTTCAGGGCAGGAGTGACAACCACGCATGTGTCCTGATCCTGTGGAGAGACCCTCAGGTGGCCACTCTTGAGTGTCCATGGGTCTGCAGAGCCATGGACTGCACCCAGCCTGGGACCACAGTCCAGCCCCTCCACTGGCTGCCCTGATGTTACAGGCTCCCTGAAAGCCCCTTGGCTGCCTCCTCTCCCTGAGCCTTTCTGCTCTGACCTGGTGGCCTGAAGGGGAAGGGGGGGCCTCTGTGTGTCCCTGTACCTCCTCCTGCCTGGGCTGGAGGGGAATTTGTGAGTGCGAGGGACAAGGAGAGCTGGCGGGCGAGGGACTTGTCCTGTTCCTTCCCCCTGCTGTTGTGTTTACTCCCTGTGGAAGAGACAGGAAGGAAACAGCCTCATGGCTGCTCTGGTCCCTTATCTGGGGCCTGTAACGCCCCTGCAAGTTTCATTGTTAGCTTCCCCCAATCTCCGGGCCGTGTTCCCAGGGGACGTGTGGAGGTGGGGACCTGGGGCTGGGGAGGCATTGCTGGCTGTGCAGGGCCTGCCTGGCAGCCACACAGGGCTGGAGGAATCTGCTGGGCTTGCTGTCTGTCCTCTCCCTGCCTTCCCGCAGAGGCAAGCCCTGCTGGTCTGTGCTCGCCGCTCAGCGCTGAGGCTGCTTGCAAGCAAATGAGCCCGATCATAAGAGCAGGGACTCAACTAAATCTCTCCTTGAAGCCCGCATGCTGGCTCTGTCCTCATGCACCCGAAAAATCTGCCTCTTCAGCATACAGATGGTTGAGGGCAGGGGTGGGGAGCTGTTACATAGCAGCACAGCTACTTGGGCAAGGCCATGTCATGTTGTGGAGAATCCCTTCTCTGTAGGAGGGTGTCCTCTCTTTAAAAGGGATTGGTGAAATACCGCTCTGGAAACAAATTGCAGCAAGCCGCTGGGGTTTTGGATGCTCCAGGTGTGTAGGGTGTTTGGGTGGTAGGACCATCCCCTGACCTGCTGGAGAAGTCTAGGATGTGGCAAAGAGATGCTCCCCTTTTCTTGGGGGAGAGGGACCAGGTCGGTGGCCCAGGCTGCCTTTCCCCAGCACCTGGCTGGCTGCAGCAGTGTCCCTGCAGTGGGGCCCTCTGGAGCTGGTCCCTGCAGACCTGCTCTGTGTCCATGCGGACTGACTGTGACCTTCAGTCAGGAGTCCCAGAAGTGTCCCTGCTTGAAGTGGGTGGATGCCTAGCAAAGATGGGGAGTGTTTGACTTAAGGGTGAGAGTTGGGATGTGTCAGCACTGTTCTGGGAGGCATCAAGCCTCTCCTTCAGAGAATGTCTGTTGCAAATCTGTGGGGCAGGTGAGACCTCGAAGCAGCAAGGGTCACAGCGGTCTCTGCATTTCCATACAAGGCTTGGGGAGTCAATCTGTTGAAAAAAGCCTTGGGGCATACCTGTTGCAAGGTGGGAGGAGTGGAAAGCTGCCTGTATGAGCCAGGAATCATGTCTGGAAGCCTCTGAAAGCCTGCTTGGGTTCCTGAGCCAAGAGTGATGGGCTGCGTTCCTCCCAGGGTGTGGACTGGCCGGTGAGCATCCCAGCCCACACTGGGCTGCGGCGGGGTGCTCGGAGCTGAGGTGGCCTGGAGCAGGTATGCGTGTGCCACGGCTTCATCTTTTGCTGGGCACCACATGGGCATGAGTAGAACTGGATTTTTTTATTGATGAAGGCAGATTACAGGGTGGCGGTGACCAGATGTTCAAACATGCTGCAGGCAGCTTCCAAAGCACTTGGAAAATGTCCACCTTGCTTTGCTGGGCACAGTCGTGGTGGTGTCTGATAAGCGCCAGGGCTGCCTGTGTCCGAGGGAAGCTTGAGGGGGGCAGAGCCACAGGGAGGAGTGGACTGGTTGGGAGTGGGAAAGGCATTTCAGGAAGGGTTTCATCTGGATACGCTTGAGATAGTGTGGGAAATTCTTAAAAAAAAAAAAAACCCGCAAAATAAAACCAAAAAACCAAAACAAACCCAAACCCAAAAGTCCTCCTCTGAAGCAGCATCTGCTGCAGGCTGGGACTGGAGAGGCAGGGCTGCCAGGGAGCATGGGGCTGTGGGAGGCAGATGGGACAGGACTCTGTGGAGGGGCAATACTGCCTGTGCTCTCAGTCCCAGGTTGCCATTACAGCCACACTGGGGTGGTGGCACTGGGGGGGTGGGCAGAGCTGATGCTGAAGACCGTGGGAAAGCAGTTTCTGTGCCGTCTGCCTGGCTCAAACGAGTCCCCACATGCCTGCCGTGACTGCACAGGTTTGGGAAAACCTCTGGCGGGCTTGCTGGGACTCGGCAGGGCTGCACAGGGGGTGGAGGGCTGAGGCCTTGCCACTCCTCTCTGCTTGTGCCGTTCCCCCTTTGGTTGAGAACAGTCAGGGATGCTGGAGTCCCTGTGGAGGCTGCTGTGGGAACATTGCCACGTTTGCCACCCCACTGGCCCTCTCCAGATACTGCTCCATCCCTCAGAGAAGAGGGGGTGGGAGAGAGGAGCCAGTTTCCCATGTCTGTTGCCTGCCCTACCTTCTGTTTTGAGTTCACTTGTGTGATTTTTTTTTTTGACCTCCTGTCCGCTGTCCCTGCAGCTCTCTTCCCTCCTGCTTCCTCACTGTGGTGGCTGGGCTATTTCTCCCATGACTCTCTGCGTCTAGACCTGGCTGTCCCGTGCCTTTGCCAATCAAACCTGAACTTCCTCCTCTAACAGGTCTGTATGGAAGAATATTGCCTTTCCCAAAATACATTGATTGTGGTATGCTTGTTCACTATTCTCCTTTGTTGAGGGGATGTTGGAGGGGTCCAAGCCATTGCCTATCCCTAGATCTGTGGGCTGAGGACCTGCTGGGTTGGCTGCAGCCTTGAGTGCCCTGGTGAGAGGGTGGTGAGTTTTGGCAGCAAAGGGTCTTATGGGGTCCCCTTTAGGGGGATCCTGTCCCACTTCATCCCCTTTCCTGGGTAGGAGAGAGATGAGGAGCTGGGGCTGTCTCCCCACTTATTATCACACTAGGGAAGCCAGAGCAGATAAGTAACACAGCCCTCTCCCTCAGCCCTTCCCTGAGGGAAATAGTGGAATGTGTGTCGTTTCTCATTCTTTGGGAGTGTGTCCCCTGTTCTGCCCCGGGGATCTGCCCTCCCCTCCTGCCACTGACTGCTGGCAGCTTTTCTTTGTAGGGGAGGTTCTCCTGCAGCCTGAGGAGGGCTCTTCTGGGAAGAGGGAACCTCCTCCACACACACCAGCTCTTCTGAACCTGGCTTTAACCCCAGCTGTTTGGCATGATGGGGGAGGACCTTCTGCCCCGAAAGCACTGCTTTCCCAAGCTTAAATGCTGGGGCAAGGAGCATCTCAGTCACGCCTGGGGCTGTGCTGCTCTTGAGACCCTTTTGCCAGCAATCTGGTGGTGGGTGGGAATGGGTGTTAATGCTGTGAGATAATTTTTTTTTTCTTGTTCTGAGAATCTGTCTTAATGAGATCAGTCTCTTCTGACCGCTCTTATTCCTCCCCCAAATCATGTGCAGTGCGGAGGGGCTGCTGCCCTTCTGGGTCACTTTTCTTCCCCTCACCTTGACACCAAGCCACCTCCGCTTGTGCCTACCTGTGCCCCCTGCCCTGCCCGTCCTGGGCACCCATCACCCATGGACGACTCAGAAGTGGAGTCGACCGCCAGCATCCTTGCCTCTGTCAAGGAGCAGGAGGCACAGTTCGAGAAGCTGACCCGGGCGCTCGAGGAGGAACGGCGCCATGTCTCAGCCCAACTGGAAAGAGTCCGGGTCTCCCCACAGGACACCGGCCCGGGCTTGGCCAACGGCACGCTCACCCGGCGGCATCAGGTAAAAAACCCCCTCGTCAGAGGTGGGTGCAGAGGCTCCTGGAGCCACTGTCTGTGTCAATCCCGCCTCGGTGAGGGCAGCCCCGGGCCTGGCTCCCTTCCTTTGGCCCTCCGTGGATGTGTGAGGTGGAGGAGGGCTAGGCCAGTCTTGTACCACTAATGGTGCTGGAGGTGATCTGAGGATGTGCGAACCTACCTCAGCAGCCAGAGTCTTGTGGGGAGAGGGAGTCAGCCTGGAGGGTCTTGCTACCAGGTCAGCTCTGGTTGGAGCTGACTATATTCAGTACCTGGGCATCTTTGCTCCCCATCCCACTCAGCTTCTTGGAAGGTGGCTAAAATGCAGGGGTTGGTGTACGGCTGTAGGGGAGCATGTGTGTCTCCCTCTCGCGTGATGATAGACAAATCCCTGGAGTCTCAGTCTATCTCCAAACCAGCCAAACCAGGGCTGGGGGAGAGGTCTTTTCTCTACAGGGCTGGAAATGTGGTTTCATCTGCATTGGCTTGAGGTTTCTCTCCTCTTCTCACTTTCCCAGGCTCTGTTTTGGAGAGGGGTGCTCGGAGGGCTGGTGCGTGCGTGGTGGTGTGCAGGAGGCAGGTGCCTTTCTGGCTGCGGAAGGTGGTGGTGCTGCTAGGAGAGATGTGTGGGTTGGGGAAGGAAGGGGTGGGCAGAGGGGGAGCGCAAGAGAGACGCACAGTAGCACTCTGCAATCAGCCACTGAGCGACCATGCTGTTCCCTTGTGATCCTGGGCAGCCTCTGGGATGTCGCTTGTGGCTCCTGCATCGAAATATGTGGAAGGGCCACGCTGGGGAGCAGGGAAGGTTCTTGGCCATTCCATCAGGAGGGTGTGGGCACCGTGGAAGAGCTGGGGTGTCTGGAGGGGGGCTGAGTGGTGTATCCTCCAACTCTTCCCCAGCCTGCAATGGGGAGTGGTTTGCTGAGTGTTGCACAGACACTAGAGGAGTGTGCTCCTCTCCTGGGTGTGACACACGGGTGTCTCTGTCAGATGCAGGAGGTGGCCTGCTCAGGGCCTGGCAGCGAAGTGGCAGGGGCATGGATATATGGGATCCCAGCAGTGGGAGATCAGTCTAGTAACAGGCCTCCTGTGCTGCTGTGTGTTTCAGAACGGCCGTTTCTTGGGCGATGCTGACCTGGAAAGGCAGAAATACCCAGATCTGAAGCTCAACGGGCCTCAGGTGAGGGGAGCTGAGCCCTCTGGCTGTGGGCAGCCTGCTTGTTGGGTGGGGGGTGCAGGGGAAGGGCTCCAGCGTCTCCACCCTAGCTGGGGGAGGAGCACTTGTGTTCTAATGTGGCCAATACAGGCTTGAAGGGACTTTGGGTGTGGAGTTGTTGACGCCCCCCTCCCATGCAAGAGGATATCGGGGCTCCCTGAGAGGTGAGATCTCTTGGCCAGCTGACTCCAGGGAGGGAGGCCAGTGGTGGTGGTGGGACCTGACTGCCTGTCCCTTGCTCCTCTCAGGACCACAGCCACCTTTTGTACAGCACAATCCCCAGGATGCAGGACCCGGGCCAGATCGTGGAGGAGACATACACCATGGAGGAGGACCCGGAAGGGGCCATGTCGGTTGTGTCTGTGGAGACATCAGACGATGGGACGACTCGGCGTACAGAGACCACGGTACAGGCCAGGGGGGAGCTTGGAGGGACAGGGCTCTCACCAGGGACCCTGATGGCTGGGGTGCTACAGCTGTGATGTCTGCCAGCTTGCCATGCTGTGAGCTGAAAACGGGGTGTGAAATCTTCCTGGAGTAAGGTGCTGGGCTGGAATGGGTACCTGGGGATGCAGGGGTGTGGTGGATTTCCTGGTGGGAGTATGTCCTGCATCTATCCCTCTAGGTGAAGAAAGTGGTGAAGACAGTGACCACCCGGACGGTGCAGCAGGTGCCAGTGGGGCCTGATGGGTTACCTTTGGAAACCTCCCCCGTCACCAGCAACTATGTCCAGACCATGGACAGGAACTTCCGCAAGAACGGCAACGGGGGCCCTGGTG